TAATTCCCCCGATATTAAACTTCTAGCTCTAAAAATGTAAATGATATAAATCTTTCCAGTGTAACACGCCCGTATGGGCTTTCATGTACATGCATACGTATGTATCTACTATAAATTATTTTATTTAGATTGTCAAAGCGAGTATATATTCCATACTTATTACTATCTATATTCATATTTATTACTATTTTACACTAAATATAACATATGTTTATTGTTTTGTTTATTAATATTGGCACTTAAGAGTAAATTTCCAGACACGTCATCATTTATATATTCTTAATATTTTATTTGATAATGGTATTATTAATAGCTACAATGCACAATGTATTTCTTAATGCAACAGATAAACGCATATTCTCTTTAACCTTCGAAAGAGGGTAATAATAAATTTTAATTAATTATTTAAAATTTTCAAAGCGCAACAGTAATGCATTGGCAAATCGATACCCATATCGATACACTATTTGGATGTGCACAGTGAAAACATCGCATTATCAGTGCTTTCATATATATATATTTTTATTTTGATCGTGTTTGTCTTAGCCATAACTATCAAAATACGAAAAATAATTAGAGCTAGGGTATTTTATTTTGCTATATTCAAAATTGTTTCCGTATTTTTGTAGGCTTTGGGAAATAGTGGTATTTGGTGTCGTAGAATATATAAGATGTTTTCCTTATCAAGATTGATGTATAGCCGTATAAAGCAATTTCGTTTAAACTCATTTAAAATGTCAAGTATGTTACATTTTACAAGCATTGCACTCAGAAGTCGCAACTTCACCAATTTAACCAGAGCAAATGCACTACAAAGCATTATGTCGCCTAGCAATTCTAAATGTATGGGTTCATTAGTAAATGTACAGCATAATGATAGTAAATTTTTCATAAAGATGGATAACGAGATTGCCTATTTGAGATATAATATTGCCAATGGAATCATGTATGTGACCCATACTAAAGTTCCTGACAAACTAAATGGACAAGGTCTTGGGAAGCTATTATCTAAGGTATTTGTATACCCTAGTCGCTTGCCATAAGCTGTTGCCATGATAACTAGCGAACAAACACAAACTTGGCAAAATCTATTGCGCCGTAAAGCCATTCGGGCCCAATAATATAAAACATTACAATTGAAAAGTGATTACCAGCTTAACTAAGACTAATATTTAAGCTTAATGTGATATCTAATTATTGTTGAACGAAAAGTAATGTCTGTGTCTCTTTGCAGGCAGCATTGGAGTATGCGATACAACATGATCTGCTAATAAAAATTTCGTGCCCGTTTGTAACCCGTTACGTAAAGAAATACGAACCGCATTTCCTTAAGTATATTTTGTGATAAATGTGAAATTTTGTAATAAACCAAAACCCAAGCATCAACATGGACTCCAATGACTTTAAGAGCTTAGTTCTGTATTATGGAAGATTGCGCTTCTATAATTCAATGCAGAAAACGTCCTTGGACGGATTGGCCAAGTTCCCAATGCAATCAGAGTTTAGATTGTTCAATGGTATTGCCCTCGCCCTGGGCAATCACATGCAGGAGTGTATTCGGGAGTTGAACCCGTTAAAAAACGACCCGGAATTGGGCTTTTCGGCCACTATGACCCTTATTTACGCCCACAAACACTGTCGTCTAATGGACACCGATGCGATTGACGCACTTGAGCAGCGAGTAGAGCACGGAGGTAATAATCTCAGCTCCGGCTCATGCTATTACACGGCTGTGTTTCTATACTTAGTGGGGGAGCTCGAAGGGGCCTTAGACTATATTGGGAGGTCTATGAAAATAGACGGCAATAGTGATGCTGCGCTCGTCTTGAAAGCATGGTGTGAGCTCTCGTCGAGTGCGCATCAGACTGGCAATGGGAAATGGCAGAGTACGCTTGAAGGTTGCATTGCCCGCAGCAATGGCAAGAATATTGACGCATCCTTGGCACTCGTGCGGTTCTTTCAACAGCGGAGGCAGTTCGATGCGGCTCTGTCGGTGATAAATAAGCTCAGCATGCGGTTTCCGGACATAAGCATTCCTCTCATCGAGAAAATGGAAACCCAGCTGACCGCACTCGACTGGGACAACGCGCTAGATACTGCCAACAGGGTCGTCAATATGGAGCCCTTCAACGTGGCAGCTCTGCGCACTAGGGGCATGCTGAACATCGTGCGCGAGAGCAACTTTAAGGCCGCGGCGGCTACACTGCAACAACTTTTAGTTTCCGTGGAGCGCATTGAGCCGAGTAATCTTACCCTAGTTGTAGAAATATGCCAGCTTTTCTCTCGCATATGCTCGCGAAACAAAGAACTGCTCAAGCTGACACTGCGCTGCATTGAAAAGGTCAACGAACTGAATCCTGGCAACGTGAGCATCCTAACAGAAATGGGCTATCAGAAACTACTGATCGACGATGTTCCCGATGCGGAACTAGCATTTCGCTCGGCATGCAACGTCGACAGCACCAACTTCGATGCGCTCTGCGGCCTAACTTTATGCAAACTCAAATATCGCGGCGACTTGGAGAGCAGACAGCAGATTCAACAGCAGTTGTCATATCTCATGAAGCTCACGGACTACAAGCCCGAACCCTTGGTTATGTATATGTCTGCTTTGCTGGCCGATTCGAAGGAGCAGGAAGCCTCGACCGTGCAATTGTTGGTCGAAGCAGCGGAGATACATTTTAAGAAATTTAATGCATTGCCCTATGGCGTTGAATATGTGTGCTCCATGAATCCCGACTTTATGCTGGATATATGTGGAGAGCTAATTCGACATACTCCGGCTCCAATAAAGGAAGTTTACTATGACTTGGATCTGGGCCCGGAATCCTTGCATATCACGCTTAAGCACAGCCTCAATATTCTGGACATCGTACTCCACATATGTCCTGGACACCAAGGAGTAAATATTTAATTCCAACATTTCCATCAGACAAGCACTGATGATTGTCTTATTGCAGGCACTTTTTCTGCAAGCGAAATTGGAGTTTCTTTCCGGGGAGCATTCGAAAGCCATAAGCCGCCTGCAGCACATTCTGAATTTATTCGGAGACACTTTCACTGAAGCCCATCTACTATTGGCCCAAGTACTCGTGGAAAAGAAGCAATACTTTCAGGCCCTGGAGTACTTGGAATTGGCTTTGGCACAGAATTTCACAGTTCGCGAGCGGCCCATGTATCATTTGCTAAAGGGCATCATACTTAAGCATCAGCAGAAGCTATCCGAGGCTCACCAGAGTTTTCAGCTTGCACTGAAATTGGTGGGCGGGATGTCGACTGTAGGCCAGAGGCATGATTACATTGCGCCGACGGACAACAACACTATAACCAGCTCTGACAAAATGACTATATACATTGAGCTAATCTATGTGCTGCGTGAAATGGGCGATGTCCAGGGTATTTTTGAAAGCGAGCGCGTTCTGCAGTCTGCCATTGAGGAATTTAATGGAACAACCGAGATGGGACGCTTAGTCATTGCCCATTCACAACTGATGCTTGAGAAGTGCAATGTTACCGAAGCTATAAATCTCTTGTCTACAATCAAACCGGATCAGTCCTATTATATACAGGTAAGTGGCATAGTGAAATCTGAATGAAAAGGATAAATCTACAAAACAATATCGCCAGGCTCCTGTTTCCAAATTTCAAATCTCAGATAAGCAAACTTTTGTATTAAATATTATATCAAATATAACTTATTTTATATAACTTATTTAATCACATTTATATTAGGCAAAAACACATTTAGCCAACATTTACCTGAAGTATCAGAAAAATCGGAATGCATTCTCGCAATGCTTCAAGGAATTAGTTGAAGCTCGACCGGAACCTAGAAGTTATTTAATGTTAGGAGAGGCCTATTTATCCATCCAAGGTCAGCCATAAATATTCTAGAATTTCACTCAAAAATACATTGATTATTCAATATTATAGAATCGGATATGGCAATCGAGGCATACCGAAAGGCTTGCAGTATTTGTCCGACGAATGCCTTACTTGCTAGAAAACTGGGTAGATCCTACGTCAAAACCCATCAATATACAAAAGCTCTCAAGTACTATCATGAGGCAATACAGAATCCGGGATATTCTGTCCTAAAACTAGACTTGGCCGAGTTGTTTTTGCAACTAAAGCAATTCCAGAACGCTGCAAATATATTAAGCGATAGCGACAAACAAAATGCGTGAGTTATCAGTTGAATCAAGTTTGATATGAAACGTATTACATTGGATCTTATTGCAAAATTTGGGTTTTAGAAATGAGGACAGTCTCGAAGAACTGCAGCTGCAAACCAAACAGCTGTTACTACTGGCTCGCATCCATGAGAAGTCTGGAAATATTCCTGAATCGCTAAAAACCCTGCAACGTGCCCGAGACAATCAATATCGCGTGCATAAGCTATGCACCATTGGCCATGTTGAAAACCTTTACGAACAGTCCAAAATTCTGTCAAAGTAAGTACGGACTTTTTGACTATCATATATATATATTATTTAACTATCTTTCGAATAAGCTTGGTCAAATAGTATAGGTAAGAGACTTGCATTTGGAACTTACATATCAAGCTGTTGACTGTGAACAAAATCATACTGTCCACCAAGCCAGCTTTCAATTTATCGCAATATGTTGTTTCTGCAAAAGTGCTTAGTAGTATAAATAGCAAATTTTGGATATTGCATGGTCTGCATCCGTTCTGCCTTACGTCCGATGGCTCAATATCGTGATTTGACAAATTATGTTATGTTTCTCCTTCACAAATGTACAGAGATCCCCTTATATGATATTTATAGTAATATATTTGTATTTGGTAAGACTCTTAAGCAGGATAAACTATGTTCGTTGTCTATAAATATGACTGTTTAGAAATCGGCGTATTTCTTTTAGCATTGGTGCCAAGTTATTCGAAATCTCTAGTCTGATTTGTTTCATCTGTTTTGTAGCTTAGTTAATAATATTTAACGTGAGGTACAGCATATTTGAAATCAATACAGACAATTGTATACGTCTAGCAGTGAACATGAAAAATCTTTTTATTTAATGCGTACAAAGTCTTATGAATCTACAGACCTTTGCGATATTTTTCGCCAACCGTAAAATCGGTCATTGCTTTACCAGCCGTTCCACATGTTCCGATTCCAACTCGTCCACTAACGTTATCGGGCGATGCGAATATACTATTCACTTTCATTCCTGGTTTCTTTTGATTCTTTGTCGTAAAACTAAGCCATTTATTTTTGTCAGATTCGCGCTCTTCTTCTAAATCTTTAAAGCGCTGCTGTTTTTTCTGTTTTCTTTTCTTTAAATATTCTTTTTGATTGGGTCGATGCCGTCTGCGGAAAGATTCAGATTAATAAGCGAACAACAACAAAATTCAATTTAATTTCATACTTATTTGATGGAAATACTTCATTGCGGGTTGTGCGCTCACGCAATTCATTTATTGTAGTTGTAGAACGATTTTGATAGGCTTCAAAGATAACACTTACTTCACCTTTCCCAGTTATACCCTCAATCGTTGCGTCGTAGTACTGGCCGTCCTCTGTCCATTTCGCCTGGCACTTGTCTCCGATTTTCCAAACTTTCGCGGATGTAACAAGTTTTTCAGCTTCTAAAAGAGCAGCTTCAATTTCGTCAAAGTAATTTGACGACGCTGTTTTGGAAGAAGATGGTTCTACGTACGATGATTTTCGTTGCTCTTCAAGTTGAGTTTTTATCAAGTCTCGCGTTAGTTTAATAACCTCTTCAAGATCGTCTTTTAATTTCAAGAGTTCTTCATTGCTGGGATCTGTTTGAAGGGCAGCTTCGACCTATAAAAAGAGCGCAAAACAATTATTTTGTATATACAATTAAAGACTTACATATATATACTTGTATATATATTTACATACATACATAAGCTTATCACAAATTGTTTTGCAGATTTATTAGCATATTCAAACATACATGAGAAATACATATGTACGTATATACATACGTATGTATATATGTATATGCGAGCAAACATAATTTGTAAATAGTCTTATATATGCGTATACCTACGAAAAGTGTACATTTTAACGCGCACTACAATATTTTTTCTACACAAATACTCACTTGCTGCAATTGGCATTTGTAGTTTTGTAATTCGTCGGCCATAGCAACTCAAACTTCACAATTTCTTAATAAAACTATTTCTTGTTTCCACTGTTAGCGATGGCAGCTCATTCTAAGGGTGCTCGATTGTCAATGAAATATCGAAACTCTAGGTAATCGAAGAAGCCAACAAAACTATCGATAACACTTTAAAGATGTTTCCATTAGTTACGTTTCAGTTCATAGGTTACTATCTTTCTTGTGTTTGATTTTAAACCGTCTATATTTCTTAAATGAGAGAAGTTTCGAAAGTTTGGCATTATTGTCTATGAGAAGCGGAAGCTTTGACATACAGAACTAAACTAAAAATAAAAATAAAATAAATAAACTAACTAATAATGAGTAACATTTATTTATTATATGCATTTTTTTATTTTTAATTTGTTTCTAATTTCCTTACAATCAATTTAAATCATTTTTGTATTTGTATTTTTTTAGGATATGTATTCTAATTGCTCAACAGTCCATTAAAATCAAGAACAGCGAGCTAGCAATATATCATTTTAAGGAGTGCGTTAAATACACTCCTAATGATCTTGAGATTTTAGTGTCTCTGGCACATCTTCAAATGGAGTCTAAGGAAATGGATTTGTGTCGCAATACTTGTCAGCAGATACTTCAAATTGATGGCAATAACGAGACTGCGTCAGTATTAATGGCAGATTTATCATTCAGAAAGGTATCTTTAAAATTTAGAATAGTTAGTAAATAATTTTAGGTTTTTTTTTTTTTTTTTTTTATTTATTAACGAAGAATCATTTACACATATATAATATAACTAAATTTATTTTAATTTTTAGATGGAATTTAAGAATGCAGCATATCATTTTTCGCAGCTGCTATTATCTCAGCCTTGTAACTGGACAGCTTTGGCCAGACTAATTGAGGTTATGAGACGTTCTGGTACATTGTCGGAGAGTCTGCCTTTCTTAGAACGTGCTGAACAGGCCTCATTGCAGTCTAAAAATTCAACCGGATATGCATATTGTAAGGGATTATTCGATTGGTACAATGGTAATTTAAACAGTGCTTTACGCTACTTCAATCAATCTCGTAGAGATCATATCTGGGGTCAGCAAGCAAAGGTAAACATGATTGAAATATGCATAAATCCCGATGGAGAGATACCGAATGCAAATGATCTTTTAGACGCGGGAGATAGCGGTGAATTCAGTGAGTCGCGTTTAATCGCCTTGCGAACAGCCGAGCGTTTACTTAAAGAAATGCGTCCTCGAGCTGGAGATGTCTATGAAAACACCTTGAATCGTCGAATTTATTGGAATTTTTTGCAAATGGCGTCAAAGCAAAAAGTTCAAGTGCAATTAGCACTAAAGGACTTAACTGAGCTTATGCAGAAAGAAGGCAATCCTTTAATGGTTACTGTAGTATATGCTATAGCATTGGCTCTAGTTCAACTGAAGCAAATGCAACGTGCGAAAAATCAACTTAAACGTATAGCCCGTCTCAGCTGGAACTATGAGGAGGCCGAGTACTTAGAGCGAAGCTGGTTACTGTTGGCTGACATTTATATTCATGCCAACAAATTCGATGTTGCAGAGACATTTGTAGAGCGAGTCCTTGAGTACAACAAATCAAGTACAAAAGCCTATGAACTGGGCGGATACATTTCAGAAAAGCTACAGTCCTATGGGGATGCTGCTAAGCAATACCAAAAAGCCTGGGATAGCTGTGGTCACTCTAAGCCACACATTGGCTACAAATTGGCATTAAATAATATGAAGAAGAAACAGTATGCTGACGCTGTTAATATTTGCCAGCAGGTCTTAAAATTACATCCAGACTACAATATTATTCGCAAAGATATTCTCGAAAAATGTCGCAATAACTTAAGGAATTGAATTCATTCTCCTGACAGAATACAATATTAGTCGCTAAGATATATACTCGAACAAATATCCAACTTCAATTAATTTTTATCACATAAATACGAATAAATACATATTTATTTAATTTCACAGGAAAATTGTAATCTAATTATTTTCCTAGTTATTGAGATGAGGAATCAATTTATCATTGCAAATTCTCTTTTCTCTTTTCAACTGGTTAATTACAGATGCCTTTGAGCATATTATTGTGATTAGGATCGTAGGTGTGATAATGGTAAGAATACAAGGAAAAAATACGGAATGTTGGCTATCTTCCAGCAGAATTCCTTGTTTCAGTACAAATGGAGCTGACACCATTCATGAACTCTCTCAACTAGTCGCAGCGTTTATTTTTGGGCTGTACTGATTTAAGTTAGACAAATCCGAAATTTTTGAAAGATTCCAGCCCTGACCGTTAATGAATGAGTATTTTGTAGTTGATCGGATCGTTGATCCGATTAGACATTCTTACTTGTTTTCTCAAAATATACTAGGCACTTTAAAATACAAATTATTTTCGGTAGCCCGGAAGAAACAGCCAGCAAAGGCCAAGGCTCTGACAATAAGCATGTCAACCATCCATATAATACGTATGGCTTTTCAGTGATTTTCATTATTTTTCACAGGAATAAATGTTCATTCTTTGCATAATAAATATATGCATCATAAATATATATTTATGCTGTTACTCTGCTAAAGGTTAACGCTTCCTTTAATTAGTTTATCCCACAAAATGGAATTAGTTTTCAGATTTCGGATTTGCTCATTCAGTAATGGAATTCAACTAGGAATGCAAAGCTCTCCCAAATTCAAAAATAAGTGTAAACCAGAGGTCAGCGTAATTGAATTCAATTGACAACATTTATTAGCCTTAAATTGGACTATTGTGGTCAAGCGGCTAAATTACTGGTGATAGTCATAATCTGATATAATATGAATATACGTAGTTCACGTAGTATGGGCAAAAGAAACTTACTATGCCCGAGGCTTTTAGTTTAAGATTTTCTCTCAAACGTGTCGGTATATACTCTCGAAGCCCAGTATTGATTCCTGAACTAAGAGTGAAACTTGGACTTTTCCAACGTGTGTGCTCAAAATTTGTTTCTGTTGAAATATATATAAGCTATAAACGTATTTATAGAGCGAATCGTATGTATAGTATCGTCAGTTCCACAGTATAATGGACTCAATGTGAACGCTCACTAAATAAACAGGGAGTGAAAAATGTTTTTAAATGTCAATATTTTTCTTCAGTTCATTTGGGTCATTTTTCTCAATATGATATGCTAATAATAGCACTTGATACTTACAACATTTATTATTAACTTTAATAGAAGGAGTTTGTGAAATTTCAAAGTCGGTTATTAAAACTCAACACGGATATATACCTTCTACAGCACCACATATAAAATGGATAGTTTAAAGCTTTGGTCATTCTCATCTCTCTTAATAATGCTTATACTTATTTTTAAGGGCTGAAAAAAATAGATTCCGTTATAAATTAGTTGGTAGTTAGCTTGATAAGCTAAATAAATAAATGTTGAGATAATTAAAGATTAGTCAAGGCGTGCAAACAAGTCAGAGTGAGTGCGGAACTAACTTTCTTTTACAGTCACAGATCATTATTCATCCAAATTTAGTTAGTGACTCATTGAACTCTAAGGGGCATGAATAAAAAGAAGGAGTTGTTTTACACACAGAATATAAAATGAACTTTACTAAAGAATTATGACTACTTACTCAAATTCTTATTTGCTTTTAACTCGATAGTAAATACAAATTTGATTAGTAAAAGTTTATGCCAAACATATAAGGATTTTTTTTGTTTATATATAAAATAGCATTTATCACAAAAAAAAAAAAAAAAATATAATTATTTATAATTTAAAAAATGAAATATTTGTTTTTAATATATTTGTCTTCTTTTTATGTCCATCTCCAGTGCTCATTTAATCTCATATGTGCCTTAACGTATCTGTAAAAAAGTATTTTAAATTCAGTTGCCCTTAGCTATTAATCCAGGAATTGCTGAATAAATTTTCCATCATTCAACAATAACTAAATAGAATTTTGTCTCCTTAATTCTGACTCCTTAAATTCGATATAAAAAACGTGCTTTTTCACAAAATTGGTTTATTCATGAATTATTATCATTACAATGGTATAAATTATTCGTACAATAAATATATGTGTAATATAACTGAACGCATAACAATATTAAATTATTAAGAAAATATTATAAGCAAAATACATGCAGAAGTGATTAATATGTTTGCGTAGTGTCTTTATCAGAACTGGAACTTTGAAGGAAACTTTTGTCATTCGAGCAAAGTTGGCAAACAAATTTGCACCACATGCGTCGCGTGACAGGATCTAAGATAATAAAGTATAAAAAGATAACGAACCCTTGCAGTGTTGCTGTCAGACTGAAAAGGTATGAGAATACGATTCCAGCTTTTATGGAGGATAGAATACCGAAGCACCACGTAAAGCCCAATAGGAAGAATAGCAGTACAGACAGACGTATCTGATATATTAAAACGGGAGTGTCATTGCGCCTGATTGGAAGGGTCGAGCTCGCCAATATATTATATATGATAAGGCAAAAGATTATAAAGTTAGCAATTATAATGATTGAAATCGGCATGATTATTCCAAAATAAAGAGCATAGCCGGAGGGGTAGCAGATGGGACCCTTACTAAACGAATCATGGTCTAGCACAGCCACTAGCACTACGGGTATGAGAGGTACGCCCCAACAGAAGATCGTTGCTTTCATGAAAAATCTGTTCGGTCGACCTCCGCCGAATACTTGAACATATCGCTTAAACTGCAAATAGGCGATTAATATCATCCAGAAGAACTGAACCAATACGGAGTAATGGAGTAGGGCTCCAATGGCAACGCAACTGGGTATGATCTTGTTGATAATCAAGTGCAGGGAATATTCTTCAGTGTTGATAAAGCAGAGAATTATCATTTGCAAAGCGATAGCAGCCGACAGTTGAAGTAGAACCTTAGACGATGGCTTTTGGCGCCACGAACTAAATATTGCAGCCGTTATAAATATGCCTGATATGCCCAGTAGCGATAAAGTACAGCCCGTAACTGTTATAATGTCTAGAGCCTGGCCATGATTTGGTCGCACATTGGCCTCATCCGATTCCTCCACTGTAAAATTGAAGCCCACTAGGTAAG